TCACAACCAACTCAACTGCACTTAACAACAACAATATTATCATTATTATAAATATCATGATTTTTCTGAACATATGCCCTATTAATACATTATGTCTGTTCTTTTGTTACAAAGGAAAATATGAAATTCAGAAGAACAGACACAAGCAATTGCTTTGTATTAAAGATCTAATGACTGTTTTGTCTTCTCTGTTTTAACATAAAAGATCTGCTCTGAATATAGATAATGTCCTAAAAAGAATTTTAATGTAGTTTGTAATTACTTAAGCTTAAAACTGACTAAGATAAGTCCCAAAGGACACTAACTTTAATTAACATTTTAGAAATCAATTTTAAGCATTTTTTTGTTGAAATGAAATTATGAATAAATTAAGATTCTAGCCTTTTTATCATTTGTGCTAACAGAATTCTTAAAAAATGTTACTAAAAAAATTAATAAAAATAAATGTAAGTATCCCCTAAAATAATTTTGATGGTTGCTATGAGTCAGAACCAATGCAACAAACAGTAGTTAACAACAAAAATAATATATGCAGAGGCTGCATCAGACTCTTGCTTAGCAGACTGAGGGGACATTTTTCTTACTGAATATGTCAAAAGTTTAATTTAATATAACTAAAACATGAAAGGATACAGGAGAGGTCTCAATATGGTTCTTGATTTATTTATTTATTTATTATTCATTTGGGTCAAGATATGTCATTGCCTTTAATGTCCTGGTGTAGCACTGTGGGCTAATGCGCCAGACTGCAAAGCCGTTTGAACTGCAAGGTCAGCAGTTCAAGCTCACCAGCTGCTTCTTGGAAACCCTATACAGGGTCACTATGCTTCGGAACCGACTTGACAACAACAACAACATATAAACTTATATAAGTGTTCATTTTAGATACACAGTTATAATTGGCAGCAATGAAAATGCCACAATTGTAGGAAACCTTCCATAACAAAAAAAATAAGTAATAGTTTAGTTTGTAGATTACAAACATAAGAAATAAACTTTCATTATAACTTGTACTATAACTTAAAAATGTGATATTAAGTAAATATTCATTAGCACTGATAATAATTATACTCTGAAAATAGAAGAAATTGTCTTTGATGTTAGCTAAAGAATATATGCTCAATTATTATTAATGAAATCATGCCATATATTGAAATAAAAAATATGGTGGTGTCTTTAGGTTATACCAATGGGATTAAGAATGCTAATAAGGTTATGGAAAATCTAAATTACACACAGAACAATCCTAATTGTTACTGCTATTCTAAATACAACCATTACAATGTGATGCAAAATAGTCTTACCAATATATTTTATGGATAATATTTTTATAACATATAACATTCGAGTTAAAGAGCCCAATATATATGTTATATACAATTCTGAATACATGTCACAAAACATTATGGTCTGTTGACATTCTTGACATCCTGAGTAAATTACAGATAATTTATATCGGAAAGAAATAGAAATACGGGTCTTGACACATTTATGGAAATATTATTAAGCAGAATGTTTTAGTGAAAACAATGCTAAAAAGGGAAGCAAGAGTCTTATTGTTTGGACTTACTGAATAGAAGTAAGCTATGGCCAGGGAAATGTCAATTTATATCTCACCTTAAGAATTGAGGATTTGGACAGAATAATGTCTGAATTCCTACCAATTCTGAGAACCTATGAATCAATAGCCAATCCAATTTAATTATAAGAGCATTATTTAGAAATACCAATTTCTAAAACCATCAGGCACGGTGTCAGCCAGGATCAGTGTTTTCAAAAGTGAATAATGAAACACTGCCCCTATCCTCGAGTTGTACTCCAAACTAATACCTAGACTTCTGTCATGGTTTCCTTGTTTAGTAACACTTAATGAGCACTTGAAATGTGCTTGTTTTATAACCGAGGATGCATGCATTAACAAGACAAGCTAGGTCCTTGTTTTTCTTTTTTCCCAAAGTGGGTAAGAGAGAACAGGCCATAAACAAGTAAACAAATAAGATAACAGCATATGAAGAAGAAAAAGAAGGTACACATAATAGAAGGACTGAAGAGACCAGGATTAGATGGCATCATCTCAAAAAGTCTCTCTAAAGAGGAGGCTTCTAAGCTGTGATTAAATCATGGAAAAGAACTAATCATATGAAGAAGGCTGTAGGGTGGAGAAGGAGGCTGCAGAGCATCTCAGATAAAGAAAAAATTCTAAGGCTGAAAAGTAAAAGTGAGGTTTGTCAAATAACAAAAAGAAAGTCGGTGTAGGAAAAAGTAAGGTTGAGCAAGATGGGCAGGACAAGCTTAGGTCCTGCTGTGTGGCACATGGTTATAAATATGATTTTTCTACAAGCTGTAGGAAACTATAGCTTATAGGATATAATTTGTAGTTTCAGCTGATGGAAAATGTGACTCACTCCCTGAACATAAATGTAAACAACCCTCTTAATAACTATAAATAGTAGAATGTGAGGGAAATTCATCATATAAGCGTGTTTGGGGAAGGGGTAAGGAGCCCTGGCTGCATAGTTGTTACGAGTCGGGCTGCTAACCTTAATGTCAGCAGTTTGAAACTACTAGTAGTTCCACAGGAGAAAGATGAGGCTTTCTGCTCCCATAAAGATTTACAGCCTTGGAAACCCTATGTTGTTGTTGTTAAGTGCTGCTAAGTTAGTTCCGACCCATAACGACCCAGGATAGGATTTGCAAGGAGCGGCTAGTGAGCTTGAACCACCAACCTTGTGGTTCAAATGACTTTGCAGTCCAGCACATTAACCCACAGCGCCACACCAGGACTCCTCCACTATGAGTCCAAATCGACTCCACGGCACATCCTCACCACCACCACCACCACTACTAAAAGTTAACTTGGGAAATAAGTGAAATAATGGACTTAGGCTCAAAATGGAAAAATGAAGATAGATGTGGTTGTATCTGGGATTCATTTTGATGCTGAAATCAGCAGGATCTAGAGATGAAAAGAATGTGGTGTTTGAGGGACAGTCAAGAATCTCCAAGGCGAATCAATATTTGGATGGTATTGCTATTTTCAGAGGCAAGAAGATGAGCTGGGGAGGAGTAGGCATTGTGGGGAGAGGAAGTTAGGAATCAGTGATATCTTAAGTTATACGTACTAATAATATTTTACATTCACAAATTAAAAATGCTAAGGACACTGGAAATCCTTCATATATTGGTATCAGTTAAAATCTAGTATTTCTATAACCTCTGATATAATCAGGAAAATTTTGTTTCATTTTATGCCACTGCTGAAAGGTTAGTCTCTAACACCTTCCAATTCTATACCTTCCAATAGCAAAATCATTATTTTATTATCTCCATCGCTAAACATCTGCATTATACCTCAATTATAGCTAATCGCATGCACTACTTCATGACTTACCTACCAATCTCCAAAGGTGGAGTGCTCAGAATCCTTTTATAAAATGTATCATGTAATGTATGCCATCATTTATGTGTTTGCATATATACAGGAGTTTTCTCAAAGTATGATTGTTGGGCTATTTACATGAGAAAAGCTTAAAGTTGTTGATAAGATATTTATCAAATATTTATCAAATTTAGCAAATGCCAGGCTTGCCCTCAGCCTTAATGAATCAGAATCTCTATAAGTGAAATCTAAGAATCTGCATTATAACAGGATTCACTGCACAAAATCATCTCACTTGCACACTGATGTTTGAGAACCTATGATTTGGATTTTAAACTCTTAAACAATAGAGATGTGTGTTTCTTCTGTATGAACTCTCAGTGTCTGGCTA